ATTGGCAAAGCAAGGGCTGCATTTCTACAGTTGAAAAATATCTGGAACTCCAAACAACATTCAACCAAAACCAAAATCAGGATTTTCAATACAAATGTCTAGACAGTTCTACTGTATGGAGCGGAAACATGGAGAACTACCAAAGCCATCATGCAGAAGATACAAGTATTCATCAACAGTTGTCTACGCAAAATACTTCGTATTCGTTGGCCAGACACCATCAGCAACAACGAACTGTGGAAGAGAACAAACCAGATTTCAGTGGAGGAGGAAATCAGGAAGAAGTGGTGGAAGTGGATAGGACACACACACTACGAAAAGCACCTAACTGCGTCACGAGACAAGCCCTCACATGGAATCCTCAAGGCAAAAGGAAAAGAGGAAGGCCAAAGAATACATTACGCCGAGAAATAGAGAAAGATATGAGAGGAATGAACAAACCTTGGACAGAACTGGAGAGGGAAGCCCAAGACAGAGTTGGTTGGAGAAAACTGGTGGGCGTCCTATGCTCCTCGATTGGGGGTAACAGGCGTAAGTAAGTAAGTAAGTAAGAACTGCTACCCAATAGATTCGTCCTTTGATTAGTAGATGGATATCTCTTCTACGCTATAAGTAGCATATGCCAGAAATTCATGTCTCAATAGTTTACATAAGTGAACTTCAATCACTTCTCATTATTGAGTAACACTAACTGTACTCTAATACCTACAATCGGTGAGTAATAAATAGTTGTCTTATAATGTGACACAACTGAACTACAACATGGTTCATGGAAATTTTTTTTCCCTGGGATTACAATAATCATCATTAGAGAATTACTTGCTTGATCACTAATCAAATTAAATCAATCATCAACTCAGTTAATGAATAATTAATTAACATGATAGGAAAAGTATAAATAAGGTTTGAGAATCATTGAAAGAGATAAATGGAAAAGATGTAGGAGGTTGAATACAAAAAGCTAATGAAAATCAATGCCAAATTCAAATTTGATCAATAGAATCACTGTTTGGTTTATGCCCCCCATGCCAAAACCCTCCTCCTACTGCTGATGGTGTCTGGCCAAAGCAAAATACTTCGGATTCGTTGGCCAGATACCATCAGCAACAACGTACTGTGGGAGAGAACAAACCAGATTTCAGTGGAGGAGGAAATCAGGAAGAAGTGGATAGGACACACACTGGGAAAAGCACGTAACTGTGTCACAAGACAAGCCCTCACTTGTAGCCCTCAAGGAAAAGAGGAAGTCCAGGGAACACATTACACCGAGAAATCGAGAAAAACATGAAAAGAATGAACAAAAATTGGACAGAACCAGAAAGTGAAGCTCAGGACACAGTTGGTTGGAGAAAACTGGTGGGCGGCCCATGATCTATTGGGGATAACAGGCCTAAGTAAGTAAGTCCCATTTATGCCTGTAAGTAGATATTATCAGTTGTCTGTGCTACTGATTGTAGCAAAGAAAATGTAATAGGTGTTACGAATGCACGTAAACATGTTATTTTGATATGCTTGAGCTAGTTGGAAAATGAAAGCGAGGATCGAGGTTCCGGCGACATGACAGGCTACTGTAATCTGAGCGTCCCAAACCCCTACTGAGTAAAAGAAGAAGACTTGATATGAAGTAGAACGTGTATTCTACAAGCATCCAGAACGTACGAGGTCCAAGTCCAGAAGAAGACACGGATCCCGGACTGAGGATACGGGTCCGGTTCATAAAACGTTACAGATAATGCGTATTTATTCACTTAGGTTGAATAGGAAACAACATTGAAGTCTGTGACATTCACAGTTAAGGCGACCAATAGGAAAAAACATTGAAGTACATGACATTGATAGCCAGGATGACCATAATATTGACCAATAGAATTTACACTTACAAAATGATTCTTCATAGGATATTTGGTGAATATCCTAACAATAGGTTAACTTATTTGACCTTAGTTTCGTGCCAGTCAACACTTATCAGTTATTTTGATAAATGATTTTATAACGATTGTGATCGACTAGTCAGTCAGTGGCGATGTAGAACTTGGTATGAACGTACATCAGTTCAAGTTGTCATACTCTATTATCACAAAGAATTTCAATTATCGGATCGAATTCCAGAGTAGCGGAAGTAGGTACAGTATTGGTAAAAATGAAGTTGAAAAGCTTAGATTATGGGGGTAGGCAAGAAATGGATAGGTCCGACCGTAGCTGCTACCTTGATGTAGTGGTCTAGTCTTGCCTACCATGATGACCCCACCGACATATATTGTCTAAAACACATGTTCTTTCAGGTCCCCTACCACACTAGGTAGGTCAATTG